CCGATTGGTAATCCGGATACATGGCAGCCGGTGGGATGGAATTTGATTCCACACTGAGAGAGGATCATCTTGAAGCCTGGACCCGGTCGTAAGCAAACGAGACGCTACCGTATGCAAATGGATCGCCGGGCACGACGCAGAAATGAGAGGGGGCATTGTACTAGATGCGGTGATCCAGAGCATGTTGTGGATGAGTGTCCGTCCTCACATCCTCGCAGCGATATGTCTAGACTTCGTGATGTGTGGGGAGATTAGATTTTTTATTGTTTATTTGGATTTGTTTGGATTATTTATTTGGATTTGGTTGGATTATTTATTTTGTTTTGTTTGGATTATTTATTTGAATTTGTTTGTATGATTTATTTGGACTTGGTTTGATGATATTTAAGGTAGATCGGTTGATTTGTTCGTGTAATTTTGGTTTAGTTGGTTGTTTTGAATATTTAAAACAGGTGCGTTCGAGTTGTGCGATCATCACCAAGTTTTTTATTTTTTTCCCAGTTTAAAACGTATTTTCAAAATACGTTCTATAAATAATTTAGTGCAAAACGTATTTTCAAAATACGTTTTATAAATTATTCAGTACAAAACGTTTTTTCAAAATACGTTCTATAAATAATTCAGCAAAAAACGTATTGTCAAAATACGTTTTATGTAAAATGTATTTTGATAATACGTTTTACAAATAAATCATTATTAAATTGGTAGCCGAAATTTTCACACTGCGCAAGTAACTGTCCAACTGCAAAGCAACTGATTCATTATAAGTATATGACAACGTCTCTGAGGATAATTACTTCTCTGCTGGATATTGAATGAACCATTTCTTGATACGGATCCAACCCTCGGAAGAGGTTTCTACCAACCAAGCCAAATTTTTCAGCAGGATAATCATCAAAGGACGGATACTTCTTTTGGAAAAGGGACGACATCTCCTTCAACAAAATCTCGGAATAGAACTTCCCTTTATGTGATAATTGGGTCCAAGTCTAGAAGAATTGAGTATGAAATTGGTAGCCGGAATTTTCACGCTGCGCAAGTAACTGTCCAACTGCAAAGCAACTGATTCATTAGTCGAATCAGTACAATTGAAGTCAAATTTATACAATTGAAGTTGAATTAGTACAATTGAAGTCAACTCAGTACAATTGAAGTCGAATTTATACAATTGAAGTCGAATTAGTTCAATTGAAGTCAACTCAGTACAATTGAAGTCGAATTTATACAATTGAAGTTGAATTAGTACAATTGAAGTCAACTCAGTACAATTGAAGTCGAATTTATACAATTGAAGTCGAATTACTACAATTGAAGTCAACTCAGTACAATTGAAGTCAACTTAGTACAATTGAAGTCAAC